CTCAAGTTATCGTTGACAGTACCCAAATGTTGACGGACGGACGGACGGACGTATGACGGACCCCATGGCAATAGCTCATCTCGACGATGTCAAGGTGAGCTAAAAATGAAGGACTGCACATTACAGGTGAAACGACAAACCAAAGAGAGTTGATATAATACACACACATCTACTATATACATGATGAACGACACATGATGTACTAGTGCAGTAACCGTGCATCGACGTAGTGCAATCTTGATTTCTACTATACTACAATGTCAACATTGCTCGCTAAGTTCAAGTAGAAAATAACCATAGATACAACTGACGACAATCCAGACGTGGAATGATGTCGTAACCGGCCGGCTAAATACATATATTAACCTCCTGCTCCTGCTCTTCCTCACATTAAAAAAAACAAGACAAGGTTATTCTGTTAGCATGTCTAACAGAGTAAAAACTTATCAAGACAGCTAATCAAACACCTATATACATCTGACCTGGCAGTAAGGGGACACCATCGTGGCCTTTAGAGACATTTTTCCCAAGCCCTTCTAAACCCATATGTATGGGTTTAGTGACTGATACATGTATATATATATATATATATATATATATATATATATATATATATATATATGCATAAGACGCTGATTACTGGAGGGACAGTATCGTGTAGCATATGATAAAATGAGCCATAAAAGATCATAATAGGTAAAAAAAGAGTCCCTTCTCATTCGAGATCTCTACATAAAACAGCCACGTTCTATGCGATCGCGCCGTAATGGCATTTAAAACGTCTGCCATGCAACTGCCGAGTGTCAACTGCTGTGAATGACAGCCACGCAGCCTAATTACGACCGCCACATCTGGCTTCTCTATAAACACGCATCAACTTGATATTTCAGAAAAGACTAATTCGCCTTTACGAGAGCGACAGATCACTTTCCTGCGTAACCATGGAAACTGTCGCTACGGTTATGTCCGTAGAGCCTTTTATCACCACAAACAGTTACGTACAACCACCTGATCACGTTTCGCACTAATCAGCAGGAATATTGGATGTCAATTAGGCAATACAGAGGTTTTATTTTCAAGCCTGATAACTAAAGTGTGCAAGCAGGAACAACAGCTATCAGCGCAAAACACAAAGAGACTGTTTTTCCTTTTAAAAAACTCTTTGGAGGATATTTTCATTATATTGACTATTGTTTAGCATTACTATTGCTGATATTATTCTCAGGTAGTTATACTACTTACGTGGTAATGCTAAACATGCATGTTCAATTACAGTTCAGACCACAGGCACTTGGAACGTCTCAATAAAAAAAGAAGAAGGGACACACGAAATGTATTTACTACCAAAGGCTTAATGTTTCTCTACTCTATTTTCGCCTATTATTGCGATAATTACCCGGTGAAATGCGCGTCAAATGCTCATCGCAACAGCACAAGTACACCGCACGCACGCCCGCCTGTGCACAAACAACATGAATAAGAGAATGCTCTCTTATTCATGTGTTTGTGCACAGGGCGGGCGTGCGTGTTGTACTTGTGTGTTGCAGATGAGCATTTGACCGGCATTTACGGGTAATTATCGGCAATAATAGGCGAAATAGAGTAGAGACATTAGGACTTTGGTAGTAAATACATTTCGTGTCTACATTTTTTTTTTACCGAGATGTTCCAAGTGCCTGTGGTTCAGACGTGTGTGGATGCGCGCGTGCGCATGACACACACAGCAAACAATTGCAAATTAAATGTAATTATAACATGCTCAGCTATAGTGAGCTAGTTAGAGTAACTTGCAATTTGTCTTGTAGTTACTTGCTCAAATGCAACAATTTGCAAGTGATCATAGATGGGATAGAGAACACCTCTTAGCAGTACGGCTACGTTGCTTGTAATATAGGAATCGTGCACCGGGGAGAAATACATATTTTTCCGGAAATAGTCGAACGGTAGTAGGGTGCAACTTCGGGATCGCTCGGGTCCATAATACACATGTGTACACATGTATATACGCATTGTGAACCCTAACCTTAACCCTAAACAGAAAAACAAAACAAAAACAACAAAAAACTAAACAGTTGGGATTCGAACCAACGACCTTTCAGACGTGACGTCCGTGCTCTACGAGTTCGGCTATTCAGGATTATTGAAAATAGCACATGACATATGATAAATAAGAAAATATGTAAAATGTGTATTTCTCCCTGGTGCAAAAATCGTAATATAGTGCCGGTGTATTTGGCAGTGCTGTGTTGCAGTGCTGGCTGCACAGTGCTGCCCCCTCATGATCCCTGTTGTATTACGAAATCGCTAAGGTCGTTTGTACCAACTAGCTTTAAACACTGAAACACAACAAGAACAGACATTACCACCAACAAAATCAAAACATTGTTGATATTCCAGTCGTTCGCTCAAAGACTTCGGTTAATTGCTAGACGACAGGGAATACATAAATACGACCACGTATACGTATAAGTATCAACAAATGAATCGAAATTGACTGTCACTTAATTACCTTCTCATTGCAGAGATGCAGGAAGCAGACAAAGCCGATTGGAATGCTTAGATTCTGTTCCATCTTTTTTGAGAGCTTTGAAGGTAACTCCTTGTACATTTTCTTGAACGACTTTGGTTTCTCTATAACGTCACTCTCGAATACCGGGTTGGATTCGTTCAACTTGGAGCCCTGCAAGTGGAGTGGATAAGTTAGCTTGCCTCTGTTGCTAACTTGATCTAAATATCGAACTTGCTCAATGGATAGTAGCAAAAATCATAGCAAAGGAAGTAATAATAAACACCCATGCACACAAGTCCATACGTGATCACAATTAAAACCATATGAGGCCGCCTTGATTTAACCACAGTCTATCCTATAGAAGATTATTATAGTCGTGCATGCGTGCACACACAACCATGCACGCCCTCTTGCATGCGACAATAAAAATAAACAGGTCACACCTCTGTGCTGGTGTCTGTAGTCAGGATGCTCCACATTGCAGTTTTAAGTTTTTTCACATCCATCCTCTTGGCTGCCTTCGCATATGCAATGTCTATTTTCATCACCTAGAAAATGAAAAAAATCATCTGTAAATGATGGCTTTACAAGCATAGGACTAGGTAGTGATTGAATTCAATTGCACTGACCTGCCATGTGAAAGATATAAATATACGACTAGTATCAACTGATGTGTAATAACAGTAGTGACAACAGATCCAATTATGCTACGTGCCAATTTTTTTTTTTACACTCATGGCTCCCTGGCAGTATTTATCAAAGTTACACGTCTTTAGTTGTAATCTAAACTTTTAGATAACTAATACAAGTGCCGCAGAGCGACAGCGCTCATCTAACGTCTACTGCGGTGACTCTGTGGTGGAGTGGTGGGATTCTAGTAAACCCTGTTAGTCCCCAATGTGTTCACATACACGCCGAAACAGTGGAATGCACAGGGATAGTATAAGGAACCTTCTCAAAAGAATGTTCGTTGGATCGTTATGAAAGTTTGCCACGAGGATGGCGCGTACGTTTAAGTGTCTTCACATTAAATATGTGAAGCTCACCATCTACGTAGTAGCAACAATCTAGCTGCAATGACAGAATATGGTTAAGCACTCAGTCCATTTACCTACGCAAGCCTACAGGCCTGCCGCAATTAGAGAGCTTGCACCTGTTAACCAATTAAAGCAAAAACTCCACAGTACCACAACACATTGCAGCTGGCAGTAGCACTCGGCAGTCGCATACGTTACATTAACATACTGGACAGTACAAGAATGCATATAATTATACGCGATTTAAGGAGCATAACGCTTTTTAACAATTTAGCTTTTGAAAATTTCACTGTGACATTGTTAGCTGCATACATCCAGCTGTTATAGGATTCTACTGCCAAACCGCGCAGCAAATTCTTTCTAACAGACAGTCAACAAATCCATGTTTAACCCTCTCTTGAGGTCAAAGGTTATCTGACACCTTACTCTTCGATGTCAGCAGAAAGTAGATTTCATGGTCCTTTCAATAAGGCCATAACATGCTTAGGTCACGCTGAAACAAAAATGCCTTTTTCAATTCGCTCGGTCAGACCATGTCCTCAGAAAATGTCTAAAATTCTGCCCTCCTGCCCATTGACCTTTGACTGTGACCTTCAATTTCCGCACAGTGATTGGCTTATTTTCCTACATGATGCCTATACACCGACTATCACAGTGCCTAGTCGAGCCGTTTAGATTTGTGCCGCAATTCTGCATTCCTCCCTATACCTTAAGTTAAGGAGTGATATGTTCCCCTTCTTTTACACCTCTTGACCTTTGACCTTTGACCCCCAGCTTCGACAGCCCACTGTTTTGACAATCCCCCAATGTGCCGAAATTCGTGACCGGTACCGTCTCGAGCGAGTTAAGATTTGTGCCAACTGTTGTTGACGGGCCCGGACGGACGGACGGACGGACGATCGTGCGATTCTACAAGCTGCATCTGACTATGTCAGATGAGCTAAAAAGTGATCCCAAGTGACCTGCTTGTTTGAACAAGACCATATAGAACTTCTTCACCAAAGATCACGATATTTCTATACATCATTCAAGATTTCAGACAAATTGTCTATACCTCACAATGCCACGTGACCGTCACACAACCAGGTCCATCACCAGTGCATCTGGCATACATTAACCTTTAGGTAACTCTATACACATGGCCAGGTTTTGGAGCGAAGGGATATATATAGGTAGAATTAGGCTTTAGGCAGTTTGTGTTTAGAAACACTAACCACAGAATAACTTTGAAGTACCATACTCGTGTGGCACTGCAACCAGTTTGTCACCTGCACACCCAAACAGGGTTTAGATAGTTCAACTACAATCATTATTCAATCATAATAACCTTTTGACTACAAGGGTGCTAACATTGACAAGTTATTATTATAATTATTATGATTAACGCTCTTGGAACGATAGGATAACAGCAGGGGTTAATAATGACAAATTTGCCAATTTGTCAATGTCGTCAAATTTGTCATTATTAACCACCTGATAACAGTGAAGCGTCGTCATACCTTGCGAGGAACAGCGACCAGGTTGTCACCAGCAAGCATGCCATCCTGCTCCTCGTTGATCTGCTCTAGCCCGGACGGCAGCGGCGCGTCAGAGTCCTGCGCCATCTGGGTGATGAAGCCGCTGCGATCAGTGAAGTCACAGTCCTGGCTCAGACCGAAGCCGGCAGTGTCGTCGTCATCGTAATTCTGCCGAAAACCAGGAGACGGGGGCGTTTAGATCGACCGCGTACCCGCATTGTTTATGTGGGAGTTTACAGTCAAATTTGTACATAAGGGTCACACTAAGAGTCCATAATAGAGATCTCTATTATGGACTCTCGGTCACACCAAACCCAAGGGCAAACACAAAAAGTGTGGCTTATAGACAAATGCTTGTTCTATAGGAGTGGTAATACTGTATAATTGCCACTCATGGGAACCTTTCGAATAGTGGCTGGAAACCTAGTTTATAATGTGAATCTCATATTTGACCATTATAAACATATTGTTTTTTAAAGATGGTATTACTGCATAACGGCCATTCAAGAGATGCACCAAGTTTCATATATAACCAGGTGTCCATTCAATAGATGTGTCTGCTGATAGGATACCTGAGGATACACAATATATTCACAAGTTCTTAATTGATAAGAATGTGTTTAAATTAGTTATAAATCAAAATAAACCCAGAGTAAAGATTCGACTCATTGTACATACATCAAGTGCCCACTACAGCCAATGTACGAGTGGCAAGCTTTTGTTTACGCTGAATAGAATAGCAAAATAGGAAGTAACTTCTATGTTACATATCTATGCACCATTAATGCAGTAATTTATCCATTAAGTGTGAAAAAAGTCGCAACTACGTTCTTCTAATTGCAATTTGATAAAAATCAAAAACTTTGGCTGATCTGTGATAAGACTAGCCTGGGCACTGCATCTTCTCATGGGCCGCCAGACACCGAGATCATCATAAAAGATCCAACTTTACGTGAACGTTATCTAGACAAGCACAACAACCACCAGTCGCTTATTGGCGAAAAGTTTCCCGCTGAATCTCAGTGTGCTACCTCGCCATCGGCAGCGCAGTAATTATGACAGTCGTTCGCGTTGTTGTAGTCGTAGTTTTGTAAACGCTCGTCCTTCAACTCATTCTCTCCTGTATGCTTGCGAATCTGTGAACAACGATTACACAGTGTAAACTGTTGAGAAATCGCCGGCCACAAAGCGTGAAAACTGTTGCTGCGTGGATTAGAGAGAACTGTGATTCTACGGTCACCACGTCTGCCATCAACTACCATCCCATCATTCTGAAGCAACTACTTTGTTCTATTCGACGACCAAAGACATTTGTCATACGATTGTGCATGGATATTATCAGGAGTAAATAATATAGACTATATCACGTAATGTAGTACTAGTCTATATAATAATATATTAAAAGCAATAAGCAATAAGCAATATATATATAATATATCTCCAGATATTATCAGACACACCATACGTTACGGATAAACGTGTATCAAGGCTATTCAGTTTAGCTTAGTTCAGATACGTGATAATAATTGATTGACTACGCTTATTCTTACGCATCTTACAAACATGGAAACATTGATTTAGTTTAGGGGAGAAACAATTCCTTTCAAATCAATCGTACAAATAAGTGGTTTACCAGTCAAAATGACCATGACACACCATACTATAAGAACACACAAATTAGTAATTGGCCTATGACCTGTATTGAAAAAAGGAAATACCTTTATGCAGGGCTTAAGGTAGAGTTTGAAAAGATTTTCCACCCCGTAATCCATATCCTCTGGTAACGTCACATCCGACTTTTTGTGTTTCACTATTGTAGCTTTTGACAGTACTGTAGATGCTTTTGACTTGGAGAAGTAGGCTTTAAAATCCAAGTCTTCGTCGAAATCAATGAGAAAAGTTTTCTTCGCCTTCTTTTTCTTCTTTATTGTTGCCTTTACACCTGTGCAATAAAAAATAAATCTATCTAATCTATCTACTAAATAAATATTGACAAATGAATGGCTGAAACGTTTAACTACCAATCACAATCCTAGATGATAATACCATGATCAGTTATCTAACATCAGGTCTTTATTGAACCTCATCGCTACAAACAACATCTCTTTCTTCTTAGAAGATTCTTGTTCTAGAGAATACTGTATACGCCACCATATTTTTCGCGTACAGATATTTGAGCAAATTCAGACTTGACAGACAATTTCGCGAGTGGTTAATTTTGCGGTCGGGGACGCATTCGCGAAATTCGCGAAAATTAAACCGCCGCAAAATATACAGTGTATACAGTAATTAATACCTTTATTTAACAACTTCAGCTTCCAGTGTCCGGGACCAGCCCACATAGAACCTGCAGTGGCACTAAAGTAGGAGTATTCTGAAGGTCCTTCCTCCGCCAGCATCTGAACCAGATCTCCGATAGAGTTTACTCTAAGCATGGTATAGAGAGGTTGCATTAATGAAGATATGTATATAGAAGTTGGCTTTACAAAGATATACACAAGTTGGGATCTATGAAGAATTTCTATGAATAAAATATATACATGTTGAATTCCTGAAGATATGCTTTCCTCAGTACTCCAAGGTGGACATGCTAGCCTCCAGATGTGTAAAGATAGACAAATTATTTATTTCACTTTTCAAGTGTGTTATGGACGTTTGTACATGAATTCTCACTATGATTGATGACTAACCACTGACAAGGTAAAAACTCGAGGTTATACGTAGGTGGACGTCCTGTCTGCATGACAAACGCGATGCCACTCTTCACACAGATTGATAACAGCTTATGGCTCAGTACTATGGTGGACATATCAGGGACACCTTCCCATGTACACGGTGTTGCCACAACTTTGTGACAATGCCCCCTTTATGGCGAAAATAACAGATCATACCTGGGCCGTTGCTCCTCACCCCCATCTTGGTGAGAAGCTGCACGCATTTCCACGCCATCAGCTGTCACCCGAGTGGCTTCATTGTCACCGCCATCGCTGAAATCGTCCCCGCCGCCATCATAATCATCCTGGAAATTGAAAAAAAAATCGTGTTGCATGTGAAATTTCCATAGCGCAATTTTGTTAATTCATTGTGGTGATGGCTACTGGATGAACATTTCTCTCCTGGTCTCTATCACAAACTATAATGACGTGGAAAGTTCACAGGCATGTGTGCAGTACAAATGTGTCCTGACACAGAAAGTGAAAACTACCCATGAAATACAAAACCATGATAGGCAGAGATGGGCTCGCTGCTCAATGCAAAGCAATCAAAGCAAAAACGTGGTCATATAGACTGATATTGTATTAATAAAGTAACCTCGGCTGGCAATAGTGCACAAGCACTATGAACGGAAAGCAAAATCGCAAGCGAGTTTCGTTTGACGAGTGCACGTGACAAGTTTCCTTACCATTGCAGTGAAGTCTCTTCCTTCTCGGTCTCCGAAATCCTCAATAGGTTCCACAGGTGCATTAATATCAAATGCATGTTCTTGGCCTTTCATCGCATTCGCATGTTCAGAGTCACCCACATCGAATGAGCGCTAAAGCACGGAGGGAGGATTTAAAGCAAAATTACACATCGCTTAGGGATTTTTCACCGACCCACCTTCGGAGATTAGTGATGAAATTATATCAAAATTGAAAAAATTACTGTGTGTTGATAACACGGGTATGTATTTTACACGAATGTTAGAGAACACTAAACCTTACATCTGCATCTTGCTTCCAGCTGGTGAACTCAAAGTCGGCAAAGACAGGACAGATTTCCACAGTCGCTACAACGTTGCTGCACACACCTGCGTACACACAGTGAAACGACTTTAATCACACCTGCTCTCGAAAATAACCAATAACCATATCGCTCCGAGAAATATTTCAATGTGGATATTATCAGGGGTAGATAATGACAAATCATCTATCATTGTCATTATCTACCCTTGATATTATACATGTTATAATAATATTACATTACATGAAACTGTAAGATTACAATTAATGCCGTTCACTACTTGGAAACAAATTTCCAAAAATTAGTCACATTTAAATTAGGAATGATTAATTATGATCTAATTAAGTACTTTTTTTATTTGAGCAGCACTCAACGGAATCAAAACGTTCAATGTGTTGTAATTTAACAACACAATGGAATCAACAAAACAACAACAACAACAGCATCAGCATTGCATTTTCATTTTAACAACATCCGTTCACCAACTTATGGATTCGCAGCTAGCCGATCACCGTGGAGACGAAACAGCTAAACAAAATTAACGCATAAAAACCTGCGAGTTGATTTGCCGACATCAGCGGCTCGTCTGTCCTCACGCTGGCTAGCAGCTCCTCTCGACCCGACCGCATCCTACTGGAATCCAGCACCACCTCCGCCGCGTCGTCGAGAAACGCCAGGCTGTTGAGCAGCAGTCCGCGCGTGCCTCCCTCGTCGAACGCGGCCGACGTCTTTTGAAACAGCGGGTCGACGTCGAACTGAATGTCGTAAGTCTTCACGTTGATCGTGTTAAGATTCGTCACCAGCGTCTTCACCTTGCGCACCTGACGATCGTTTGTAGTAAAAAAAAAAAGAAGAGATTTCGGCAACGGCGCTCACGAATGTAATTAAAACGGTCTCATTCTGAATTTGCTGCTGGTGGAGAGAAGAAAGCATCACACGGAAATAATGTATACAATTACCAAAGTAATTTTAATGTGGATCAAATGGCAGGAGTAGAGTTCGATAAACTTTCCGAAAGACATTATTTAGCTTGGGTAAATTTTGCACTCATTTTTTGTTTTTCTTTTCTGTAGCTTGAATGCCAACATCGTACATTGTCTGTGAGAGGTACTAGTCACAAGGTGCTTGGCTCAATGATGGGCGCAACATGTAGGGAACACGACACATGAAAAATCGTACCCGCTTTGTCCTTTTCTTAGTGCCTTCTTCATTATTATCTTCAATTCCTTCCTCACCTTCTTCACCTAATAAACGAGACTTCGCAGTTAGCTGACACCAGTAGCAGCATGAAAAACACAATAATGCATATAAACATACATGCATTCACTCATATTAAACCAGATTTTGTATTTGCCTAATCACGACCCAGGTTTGGATCTGTGTGAACCCTCAATGACCCAATCATAGGTAGCATAGCATCTAGCATCTTGTTGCTCCTCTACCCTTTCCCATCGCACTTGTGTAGCGTCATGCTAGACGCTACAGTAGGCCACCTAGCTCTGACATAATGACCAACGATTCTCTCAGCTGCAGCTGACGTACACCATCAGAGTTCCTTGGGAGAACATTGCCGGGCAATGATAGACAATCTCTGGTTAAAAATCACTAAACAAAGATGTGAAGAAATAAAGCTCTAAGTACCTTCAGCTGGCCGGTTGTTCAGCGCATTGCCAGTATGTCCAAGCCCACCAGCAATCTTGCATACCTCTGAATGCACTGCATCCACTCTGCAGGCATAGATTTTTGCACCAGCATCTAAGGTGCAACTAGCAACCTACAATTGCCATTTAGTGTAAAGGTAAAAAAAAGTAACCATTACCACGAACAGGTACATTTGTCTCAACATGTTGTTTTTATGGCTAAATTTTTATTTATTATTAAATTTAAAAAAAATATTAAACTGCCATTTTAATCAATATCAAGGTTTCATACACCTCATGACTATAAAAACTTTAAATAAAAATGATTAGAAAACTGCTTAGTTATATTGCAATACATAATTGCACCCATTAGCAATACAGAATTACATAAAGTATAATTAAAATCATAATGAAGCCATCATATTCATACCATTGACTAGCATATTTGACTAGTACAGGCATGAGACAGACAAATGCTGAAAAGGGAGGAACATTCTAGGGGGGTCTGGGGGCATGCCACCAAGAAAATTTTTGGAAAATTATAAGCTCTGAGATGCAATCTAGAGCCATTTCAGGGTACTCCAATAGCAACACTTTTTTGTGGAAAAGGAAAAAATTATGCATAATTATTATAACATGGTCACTTACTGTAAAATTTTGATGGGCACTGGGGAATTCCGTCTGTGTTGAGTGTGTCCAAAGTAAATGTATTTTGTAGTCATACATACTGTACTATAGCTACAGCCATAGGCTTTACGCCAATAATGCAAACCACCTAAGCAACTCCACATCTATTTATACGACCGCTATAGTAGATCCAGTCAGCTAGTGTTCGAATTTGCGCGATGGTGTGCGCGCGATAGTGGGCGTGTCCTAAAAATTTTCTAGCCAATCACGTTGCTCAATTTTTCTTCCATAGCTATACGGTTTGGAAATCGCAAATTCGCTCCCCGCTCACCTGTACAATGCTCACTACATAAGATAAATGAACAGTGATACCAGTCGATTGCTGTACTTTGACGTACTCTGCTTTTATCATTATGTTAGCAAGCATACATTAAGACAATAATACGAGTAGAAGCGCTCCGGATAGTAACCGAGTCACAGTGTGTTCACATGTACGCGATCGTCAGAGACCACGCAGGTATTCTTACCCCCAAAAAAAATTTCTCCTCAAATTTACACTGATCTCATAAATGGTCTCTGGAGTTCTAAAATGGCCTGAAATCCGCCAAACAGCGGAAATGTCTCATGCCTGCTAGTAATGATATAGTATCATTATCACATGAAGATACCGTCTAATAATATTCTCACTCTAGATTACTACATATGCAGCGTTGCCCCTAGATAAAATCACGAGCAAAGCGGCAGGGTTGAATAATGGAGTGCCGAAGCTGCTGATGCAATTACTTTCATATTAATCGTGGCAATCACAGTCACACACCTGTCACCTGTCACCTGGTACATAGCAAGCGTGGTTGTGCCCGCGATGTTTATTGTGACAGCATTGGTCGCTGCATTTGGGTGGCGGGTAGAGGACATCAGAGGAGAATCCAGGACTGAGAAGTCCCAGCTGGATAATGATGGGGGGGAGGGCAGAATTTACCCGTGAGACAACAATTTTGGCAAATATTGAGGGAGGTAGACAACAAAATAAACTAGGTGCCCCGCCTCGCTTATTGTATGCCAAAGGAAAACACTGCTGTTTAAAAAAGAAAGTTTAATGAAATAACGCTAATCCTACCTGAAAGTTGGTCAGCTCTCCTTTTTTACTAAGCATCTCAGCCATGTAGTCAATCAAATGCAGATTAAATGCATTCTTCACTGTGATTTTCTGATAGTAGCCAGGTATCCATGAAAAAAATTTCATATATGTCGTGTTCAAATATTGCCAGCATCAGAGTTATAAGTTTATTATTATAGAATTGCAAAGTCTTAGAATACATAGTCATGCAATTGACAGCAGTGAATATCATATTACGGTGCATGCTTTTCAGTATTATTACATTATTAATCGTACACCAGTTTTTAATTAGAAGTCTAGAACTGATGCATTTTTATATGAATAAGTCAAAATGATATATGATATTTACCCTCATGCAACACAGTAGAAGCCCATACCACAAGTTTTTTTTTAAACTTTCTATTATATTTATTTAAGAATACTTACATTTTCTGAAGACATCTTGATGCAGTTTGCATAGTGTTCAGCTATTAGAGCATTAGTCAAATATGTCCCACCAATGGATCGGCGCCTGATAAACAATCAAGTAGTGTTCCTTGAGACTATATATCAATACTTATTTTCTATATGGCAACACATTTTAGATTAAAAGCCTATTAAAAGGCAATTGTCAATTTGCAAATTAATTAGCAATTAATAAATTTAATGTTACTTTAACCCATCAAAAGCAAATCAGCTGCACTTACAAACTGGAAGCCACAATCAATGCTACACCGAAATGTAACGAGATTACACATTACGCAGTCATTACACTGACCTGTCGGTTGGCGTCGCTGGACTGTTCAACGTCTTCTGTTGCATCTGAACTATTCGCTGTCTCTGACGCTCTCGCCTCTCCGTATCGTCGTCGTTTTCTGGCAAATTGCCAAACGTCGAAGCGGACCCGAAAGACCTCATCCTGCGGTGAGTTGCAGACGAGTCGGATTCTTGCGCGCCTGTGGTATGGAGACGCTCATCCGATCCGTGTACTGGTGCAGGTGTAGCAAATTCTGCTTCCGCGCGGCTTTTGCGTGCCATTCTGTAGTAGGCCGGCAACACTGAAATGAGATGGCCACATGTGCAAACGTATTACGGAACAAAGAAAATCACATACGTGTAATTACACCTGCATAACAGTTAACACTAACAGTACAACGAAATGCACTGGAGTAACACAAGAGAAACACAAAAATGACCATTGCAGCAATTGTGCATGTGTAAAAGGCTAACGCGTTGAAATGATCACCCTTATTGGCTGACACCATTAACTGCTGCACAGCAGTTACACTTTTGTTTTGAGATCAGTGAGGATACCGTAGTGCACACAATTCCAGGTTTAATGACATGTGGTAGTGTGATAGGCCGAGCACTAATGTAGTTGTGCCCTATGACCACAAGTTAAATTGACATCGACTATGATTACTGTCCAGTGTTTCCCCTGGCCAAAAAGGTCAGCGAGGCGGTAAATTTTTGTTGGGTGGTTGCGCAATCCGAGAAGTGAGCAATGCGAGAACCAAAGGCGATCGCCATGCTAGGGGGGTCCGGAGGCATGCTCCCCCGGAAAATTTAAAACAAAATGGTGCAATTTGGTGCATTCTAAGCTATTCTGAACACATTATATGAGACTCTTGAATCACTTTTTTACGTTGTCAAAAGGAACAAACAAGCTTCTGGGAATGGTTTTACTTTCGTTTTTCTCCTCCCCAGTCCTCGGTACCCCCATGAATAGATCAATGCTGCCGCATATCCGCAAAGTTACAAGTGCCTAGAATCTTGAAGTATATACAGTTTACATTGCTTCTAGATATCTAACTGAATAAAAATAGTCCACTTTCTTCGTAAAG